GTGCTTAGACGTGCGATAGTCGTCGCGGTTCGCGGTTTACCAACACAGCCAGTCTCAAATTATATTTATACATTTTGTTTCGGACGACGCCACTCCATGGCGGCAGCTTCCGTTGCTAATGAATCGAAGCGGTGTTGGGTAGCTTTTTTGGTCTTGCTGTCGCTGTTCGCGTTAGTGATAGTTCCGTTACTACTCTTCACCGTCGTCGTGGACACATACACGATATACACAGACGCACCAAGCCTGCAAATCTGGCTCGGCGCGCTTTCCGCGTCAAGCCGAACCGGCGAACCGTCCCGTACCGCTCACGATGAGGCCAACCCAAACGCTGACTTGACTCCGAGCCAGGGGAAGAGCACCGTTCCGGAAAATCCGGTAGAATCAGATCCGGTTTGCTGGTGGTCCGGGGACCACGGCGGCTACAGCGGAGGCGACTCGACAGGATCCAGCAGCAGCACGATGATAAAATCCAATCATGGCGCAACTTCGCGGCGGAAGGGCGGAGTTTTGATCTTCGGCGGGGGATGCTCCCGCTGCGCGGTTGGTGAGCTGTGCGCCTTCGAGATTGCCGTCAGATCGCCTGCGAAATGGGTCGCCACTCGCGAGCGCGCCGGGAAAAGAAGAGGCCGCCGGGCTCTGGCGCGACCTCGCGCGCGGGACGGAAAATCAGGCTCAATTGGGCTGAGTAGTAGCAGTAGTAGCAGCAGCAGCAGCAGCAGCAGCAGCGCCAGCAGCGCCAGCTCGAGCGGGCCTGACGGCGGCTTGACCGGCGCGCTGCGGTCAGCGAGTCGGAGCGCGTGGAGTAGCGAAGCTGCCAGGAACCAATCGAGGAGCAGAAGCAGCCGGTCTTTACGGGAGTCTGGTTCTATAGGTGGTGGCAGCAGCAGTGGTAGCGGCGGCGGCGGCAGCAGCAGCAGCGCGCGGAGGGGATTGGGTGGGTTGCGCGAGTCGCTGGTGGTGAGGCTGATGGGGCCTGCGTTGGTTGCAGCGGATGTGACTGCAGAGGAGGGTGACGTCACCCGATGGCGAGTCACGTACCGTGTGTGGGACACTGGTAACTACAGGTGAGGCGTGAGGCTTGCGGGGAGACATGGGAAGGGGAAGGAGGGAGGACGGGGTTGGGAAGGAGAGAGAGAAGGGAAAAGGGAACGAGGGGCGGGAAAAAAGGGGAAGGGGAAGGACGGGATGCAGGCAAAGGGGAGGGAGGGATGGATTGCTTGCTCTCTCCGTTCCCTGCCCATCGCTCACCCCACTTGAATCCAACCCTTCTAATGCTCACTACACAGGTCTAAAGACGTCTAAAGACACCCTTGCTTCTGTGTGTTTCCCCTGCGCATCTTTATCCCTTCCCCCCATACCTCACCCAACCAGCGTCCTGGTCCAATCAGAGTGCGACACCTTGGACTTCGCTCCCGATTACTTGGAGCGAGTCAAAAGCACGGGATCACATGTCATGGGCCAGTGGGTCCTCACCGTCCTCCCGTCCACCGAACCAGCTACCGAACCAGCTGCTGCGGCTGAATCCCATCCCAGCAGCAAAATCCCTCAGGATGCAACAGACGGTCCAGATTCGCCCTGTGACCATTCCATCCACGGCCGGTGGCTGTTCACCCCACAACAAAAAGCCTACACGTGGCAACTCTACCCCTGCGCTCAACCCCTCCCCCCCACCTCCCAATGGGTCTCCGCCCTTCAATCCCGGGGTATTTCCGAGATCAACTTTGTCGGAGACTCCCACTTGCGATTCCTCTTCCACCATCTCTACTTCCTCCTCACTGGCAAGGCCAATGCATCCACTGTGAAGCTCCACGGAGACATCCGATTGGTCGTGCCGCCCCCTAGCCCGGAGCTGCAGCCCCTGAAGCTGAATTTCTATTGGATTGGAGGGATCTACGTCGACGGGCCTTTTGGCTGCGTGTGAGTCCAGTTGTTGTGTGCGTGTGAGTCCAGTTGTTGTGTGCGTGTGAGTCCAGTTGTTGTGTGCGTGTGAGTCCAGTTGTTGTGTGCGTGTGAGTCCAGTTGTTGTGTGCGTGTGAGTCCAGTTGTTGTGTGCGTGTGAGTCCAGTTGTTGTGTGCGTGTGAGTCCAGTTGTTGTGTGCGTGTGAGTCCAGTTGTTGTGTGCGTGTGAGTCCAGTTGTTGTGTGCGTGTGAGTCCAGTTGTTGTGTGCGTGTGAGTCCAGTTGTTGTGTGCGTGTGAGTCCAGTTGTTGTGTGCGTGTGTGCGGGTGCATGCATGTGCGTGTCTGTGTGCGTGCATGTCTGTGTGCATGTGTGTCTCTGTGTGTGTGGATTGGAGGGATCTACATCGTCGGTCCTTTTGGCTGCGTGTGAGCTGATCTGTTCTTTGTTATTGTGCGCTCTTGTGTGCATGAGCATGCCTGTGTGTGTGCGGGTGCGGGTGTGGGTTTGGATGTGGGTGTGGGTGTGTATTGGTGTGGGTGTATGTAGGCATGGGTGTGGGTGTGGTTGTATGGGTATGGGTGTGTGTAGGTGTGGGTGTGGTTGTGGATGTGTGTGGCTGTGGGTGTGGTTGTGGGTATGTGTGGGTGTGGGTGGGTGTGTGCGTGTGTGTGTGTGTGTGTGTGTGTGTATGTGTGTGTGTGTGTGTGTGTGTGTGTGTGTGGGGGTGCGTGCTCGCGCGCGCGCGCGTGCTTGCCTGTGTGCATGTGTATGTGCATGTGCGTGTCCAATTGTGATCTTCATTCCGTAATTCTGTTGCATCACCGCATAACCTATGCATGATTCCTTCTACCACTTAATGCATGATCCCTCTAGCCCTCCTTGTCTTCATTATCTGTGTGGACCAATCACATACACTGACACTGAATCCAATCAAAACTCATGTGCCTTCTCTTTCGTCTCTTCATTTCCCCGTTCTCCCCTAACCCCTCCTGTGCAGCAAAAAGGAAAGCCGCGTCACGTCACTGGACAGGCTCAAGTTCCCCGACATTTCCACCACGGCTTCCGTGATGCTGATCGACTCTGGCTTCTGGACGGCTATTTTTTTGCATCTCCAATTCTTCCCTCAACCCTTGAGCAGGAAAAAACTTCTCTCGTCATTGGATAGGCTCAAGCTCCCCGACATTTCCACCACAGCTGATGTGATGCTTTTCAATGCTGGCTTCAATCACAGATACTGACACTGAATCCAATCACAATTCATGTGCCTTCTCTTTCGTCCCATCATTTCCCCATTCTCGCCTAACCCCTCCTGTGCAGCAAAAAGGAAAGCCGCATCACGTCACTGGACAGGCTCAAGTTCCCAGCCATTTCCACCACAGCTGATGTGATGCTCTTCGATGCTGGCTTCTGGACGGCCGTTTTTTGCGACGAGCCGGAGAATGCGTTTGGATACTACCTTCCTAACTTCCTGCAGTGGATTTATTCCAGAATGGAACTGGCCTGGCAGAAGCGGTGGCAGCAGGACCAGCAGCAGCAGGAGGAACAACAGCAGCAGCAGCAGCAGCAGCAGCAGCAGGAACAGCAGCAGCCACCGCAGCAGCAACGGAGATTGCAGGAGCAGCGGAACTGGAGGGTGCAGGAGCAGCAGCCCCCGGGGAAGGTTGAAACAGGGGTGCAGCCGACCAAAGGCCCTTGGTTTCTGTACCGAAGCATCCCTCCGAAGCGGCTCAACGACTATTGCGATCTCGGAACCAATGCCCTCATTTCGCACTTGAACAAAGTCGCTGCCCGGCACTTGGGACGATTTGGGCTGTCGCTGCTCAATGATTGGTTGATCGCAGCCCCAAGACCCGATGACACGTGTGGGCCTAACGACGTGCACTACACTTGCTTTGCCGAATCTGAAACAGCTGGGAATGATTCGGTAGCAGCAGATGGGAAGTATTTTGGGCCTGTAGGAGAGGCGATGGTGCGGAATTTTGTTTACCATATGTTGTTTATGCTTGATTGATTGTCTGAGCAGCATGCATATCCTCCTGGGGCAACTCCTTGAAGTCTCAGCACCACAGGGACAGAGGAGTACTTCAAACGCCAGAGATCTCAGCAATGATTCCGATACAGTATATGCAGTCAGATCAGTCACCCCAAATAGAATCTATTTTCCAGCACTCCAGCAACAAAGTCTCCAGGTAAGGTTCACTCCCAGAACAATCCTACTACCGTTTATTGTACATTACTCTACAACAAAACACACATCTAAGCTTTATGTTGAGATGATTAGTTGTCAAATGTTTCAAACATCCACCGTCACATTAACATGTAACGAACGTTCTGAACTTCATCCCTTTCTTACACCCAACAGTGCTTGCAAAGAAGAGGCTCATGCATGATTCTTCCACTTTAAAAGTATACCTGCGACAGGAAATAGATAAATGCAATGCCACAAGGGATGAAATAAGCAAACACTGGACTACAAGCTTCATGCGGCTTTCTACTCATAAACACATGAACACGAGCGAAAAGAAGTTTGAGACAATCTGAACAGGAAATAAGTACAGTGAATGCTGGTACAAGCACAGAGGAGTCGAACCACATTCATGCTTTACTGTGCTACAGGCCAACGAGTTTCATTTTATGAATTTAGCGAGGGTTAGCCAGAGTGAGGAAAACTACCTTCCAAAAAGAGAGGTGGGGGCGAGCAAAGTTCCTCGTTGGGAGTTCTTCGCGCACGAGTCGTAATCTCCCTCATCCGCGCCATTGTACTGATACACACCCGCCTTGGTGTTCCATATAAACACTGCAATTCAGAGCGAGACACGTAACGTAAGGCACAATTTGGTAAGAGACAAACGGAACACACACATTATACACCCTCACACCCACCGTGAAGAGGCAGGTTACAATGTAAGAAGGGGAATTTCAGCAACATTGAGGTGGGGAAATGGATAACCCCATGCTTTCATGGCATGGTCACGACCCATGCTTTCACGGCATGGGTGTGGAAATACACAAGGAGATGCGAAGAGCATACAATGGCCTGGCTTACCACGATTCGCACCACGGGGTACCTAAACGGCTGTGTAACACAGTTAGAGTCGGGTTATAAAACACCAACTCCTGCACATTTCAGACCGTTTTGACGAGTCTCGTAGCTCTCATTGTAAGTGACGTACCAAACTCGTCTCCAACTTTGACTTCAGCGGGGGCCTTCCATCTTTTCATGTTGCCCACGCTCCACGGGTTCAATTGCTTCTTCGACCAAGTGCTCCGCTTCGTTAGCTTCATCCCGCCCCCCACATAGTATGTCGTGGCCTGAACGAGTTAAGGGATAGGGAGCAACCAACAGATAATAGAAAATTTGCAATACGAGAGAGGGAAAGATGGAAGGGGAGGATGGAGGCGGGGGATGGGGGGGGGGGGGGGGGGGGGGGGGGGGGGGGGGAGAGGGGGTGGGAACAGGGATGTCTTTTGAGAAATCTAATAAGCTTCACATGGCAGGTTTTAATTAAAACGGGTTCGAGCAATACGGGCAACAGGGCATTAGATATAGAACTAACGTAGACGTCAAGAGAATTAGCTGTAAAATTACAGGCGCGGGCATGTGCGAGATCCGGTGATGGAAGCGAGGTGAACAGTGATCAGGTGCATAAGGAGCGAGGTACGCGACCCGGACGTTACGGACGGACGTCCGTGGTGGAGAGGGGTGCAGTATACTCGGGAAAAACGAGGTGACTTATGAGTCGAAGGAAGGCGGGGGACGGAAAATGGGAGCAGTATACTCGAGAAAAACGAGGTGACTTATGAGGTGAAGTGTGAGGGGTTGCACGGGGAAGGGGAGTGGGAAGGAGGAAGGGTAAGGGGGAGTGGGGAGGGGGGATGGGGGAGGGGTAGGGGGGAGGCGGCGGGTGCGAACTGGTTAGGAAAGGGGAGCTAGAAAGAGCGGGGAGGGCGTGGGGAGAAGGTGAACGAAAGGTGAACGAAAGGTGAACGAAAAGTGAACGAAAGGTGAACGAAGGGCAAAGGGATGAGGGGGAGTGCTATCCAGAAAGGCATGACGCACGGTTGAGTTTTGAGACGTTCCAAAAACTCAATAGGAAAGAAAAGACGGGCTAGCCAGAAGGCATGGGGTACAGTCGGGGTAGTCTGCTTGGTGTCTCTTTGCTTAAATGGGGTACGGTCAGGGTGGTCTGCTTGGTGTCAAAAAGTAAAGAGAAGACGGGCTAGCCAGAAGGCATGGGGTGCAGTCGGATAGTCTGCTTGGTGTCGCTGGGCCTACCTGTGCTGTTAGAAGAGCTGCGACAGTGCACACGTCAGGGGCCACCATGTACACGTCAGGGAGGATCATGCACACGTCAGGCAGCACATGCGAAAAACAAGCATAACGAGGGAGAAGAGGAAAGTAAGTTTGACATCATGGTTACACAGATCGTCGACTTTTGAGTCGACTCAAAAGTCATAGGAAAGTAAGCTTGACATCATGGTTACACAGATCGTCACTCCGTTCGAAATAGCAACACACTCGTTTTTGAGTCGACTCAATATACGGAAACACACATGTCCGGCAATCAATTTCTATGAAAAACCGAGAATGGGCAAGCGCGCCGGAAAGAACGTAAGGGAAGATAAACGTCACGTACAAGCGAGGCCGAGGGCGGAGAGGCACAGAAAGAGCGTTAGACGATGCAACGACATGGTGGCAGCGCCCTTCAAAGGTGAATTTCCAGTCGGCTTGAGAGAAATCTCTGCTGTCGCTTGTACACCGCTTTCACTAGCAAGATTCGAGCTGCGCTAGGTCGAAACACACCAGAAAGCACAAGGATTAATTGCTGAAGGAGGACACAGCGAAGGAAGGAAAACCGAGCAGACAGAAGAATGGTACAGTCTGCTTGGGATGGTTTTCTTGGGCAAGGCGCAGTGCGGTGAACGAGCGAGAGAGGGATCCGAAGTGGTGAAGGGTGCGAGCTCAGGAGTTCAGGAATATATAGAGGCAGTTATTATCTTGTCGCGGAGTCACCAATTCGTGCACGAGGACTCGAGAGGAGATGATTGTGGAGCCAGGCGTACGTTTTCAGTTCAAGTATCACTGTTCAGACTGGTGAAGCAGGGTTCAAAGTGGTGCAGCAAGAAAACCGCTCTAGAATGCACAGCAACGTTTTCCACCGCATACACTGAACGGGAAACGAACGACATCACCGAGTCATGCTGGTCAGGGGGGGTGTGCCAGATTTGGAGAAACAGCTGAAGGAGCATGCGCCTCCAGAACAGACAACCAGTCAGTAACGAATTCGGCCTGACCCTCGAGAGTTTTCAGGCCCCAAATTTCTCTGGGATTCGTCCAGTTTGAGCTACTGGTTGCGGGAATCCAGGGCGGACTGTGCTTTTGGTTGCGGATTGCGGATCTCTGTAAGTGCGCGGGCGCTCGCATCGATTTCGGCGATCAATTTCAGCTCAGGTTCGCCTTTTCACAAATTTTAAACAGGTCAGGAACGTTTTAGATTATAATGGCAGGTCTCAAGTGCGGTGGCAGATCGAAATTTAACAAACGATCGCCAAATTGGATGGGAGTGCCCGCGTCCTAAAATCTGTTTCTGTACTGACAAAACTCTTACGGTCAGGTAGTTCCGATCAGGTGAAAATATCGGCTTCAGCCACGCCAGCTGAGGTTTTTGCATGTGATTGAACAGGGTGGTGGAATGCTCGATATGAGCGAGCTTATGCTCGCGTTTAGGGAGTGCAGCGAGGTTATCAGGGCGTTGAAACGTTCAGTCGTCCTTAACAATAACAATAAGAACTTTAGTAGAAATAGCAACAACAAAAAGAAATATCACAGGAAGGCATAAAAAGGTATCAGATTCCCCATTTTGAACCATTTTTTCTCAGCTAACCAGCAAGTTTTTGCAAAGGCCTATCCTTAAGAAAATATTTGAGATTATTTGGAAAGCCTCCTCATGCACATTAAAGCATACTTTCTGTTATCAAAGCCGGGATCTCAAGTAAACAAATTAGCTGGAAGTCGGTGAGGGGAGCTTACTTGTAATTGGTCAACGAGGTGGGTAGTTTGACGATGGGTGAAGCTAGGGGTGCGAACAAAACTAAAATCGCAAGTTTGAGTCCGAACCAAGGAGACACTAAATCCGGTTCGGTTACGAACCTCCAACACCAGCAATTTCCCATCACACCCGAACAATCCCATGTATCAGCAATGTGTTTTGCAATTGAACCTGGGGCAAAAACTCTTAGTAACTGAGAACAGCGGAATGAATTGCATTGATTGAGTTGGGGTACAAGTACCTAACCCTATTTGTTTGTACCCCATATAGTATGACCCACTAAGGGCTATAACATTTGACACACCCCCATAGCCTAAGTGGGGAATGCCAAGTAACAGAACACAACCTAAGGTCACAAGACCAGTCACAAGCAAGCGAGAAAACAAAGCTCAGGGTGGATCTCAACGTCACCACCAGGGCTAATTTTATCAGTGTAAATCACTCTGATACCCTGATAATCAGGGTGATTTTTTATGGACACACTGATGGCCTCGGGTAATTTTTTCGAGAAATAGGTTTACCCTGATGTGTCAGTTTTTTTGTGTAAGGCACACTGATGCCAAGGGTTTCTGAATCCCGTAACGAGTTTTACCCTGTACCGAGTACCCCCCCCCCCCCCCCCCCCCCCCCCCCCCACCTCCGCCACCTGGTACACCCACCCCCCCTTTCCCGTAAGATGGGAATCCCGAAATGCAACTTTCGAAGCCGGAATTTCGGCCTTGTCAACTCATGTGCTGGCACACGGTGGGCCACCATTGGCCAGGATAACAGTTTCTTTTTTGGCAGCACCACCGACGCAACTCGGTCTCCTTGTCTGGCATGACAGTATGGCTGGGTTAGCTGGAAACGTGGCTGACTACAGCAGAAAGTCGGTGCCCTGCCCACTAGCCCACTGGGCACCGCGGTCCTTTCACGACTGTGGCTGGCTCTGCAGTTCGTTTGCGTGCATAGTAGGAAACAGGGGGAAGAAAGGGGTGTGGCATGAACACGTTTGGGATTTCACCTTTCAAGGCCAGAGAACACACACACAGTTAGGTTACGTAGGCATCTTGTTCTCTACACAAGAGGAGCCATGTCTCCGGCAGAGACTGACGATGGTGAGGCAGCTGACGAGCCACCGAGTGTTTTGCCCGCGCGGACAGGCCTGGATTTTCTGCGTGCGCTGCATGCGAACCCTCCTGCTGTAGGCACTGCGAGCCCGTCTGCTTGCAGCAATGAGAAAGAGCCTACTGCAACGCCGTCCGCTTTTGGCGCCAACGCGCCAGAAAGTGCTCCCGCCACAGTCAGCGTCACAGAGGTCGGTGAGTCATCGTCTGCAAGCCTCGAAGAAGCGTCGTCGCTTCGCGCAAGCCGTACTACCGTACGGCACGCCCCCTGCGAAACCGACGCCGCCACCCGCTCCTGTACAACCTCCGAAGCGTGCGTCCCGTGAACTCACCGACGTCGAGCAGGCTGAAGAGAAATTTCTAAAGGCGCAGGATCTATACGGCACGCAGTGGCTCCCGAAGTTCAACTGGCTGCTGCTTGACAAGAACGAGGAGGGCCTGCCCATTCTGCGGTGCAGCATTTGCGTGGAGCATGGGAAAGACGACGCGAAGTTCGGCCGGAACGGAACGGGGGGACGCGATCTGCAGCTCGGATCGATGCACTGTCACGAGCTGAGCGCACGCCACAAAGAAGCCATGAAACGGCAGCGGACGCTCATGGCCGAAATCGAGAAGCAGAAGCGGATCGACGATTTTGCCAATACCGACAAGGAGGGCGCGCGGCTTACACGTCTCATGCGCGGCGTGGAGTTCATTTGCGACCACGACGCGCCGATCGCGATGTTCCCCAAACTCATTGGCTTCCTCGCAGAGGAGGGAGTCGAGGACATCCCGCTCCAGTCCTATGGCGTGTACATCACGCAGTAAGTGTCTGCATGTTTTGGTTGAACGATGTGGCTGCAGCTTATCTTATGATGTTACCAGATCTTTTACTTGAACACCTTCCCCTCGCTGTGTCGCAGGTATGGTTTCTACGAAATGGCTTCGGCAATGGCGAAATACCAGAGAACACAGCAGCTGCAGCATCTTCTTGCCTCTCCTTTCGTCGGCCTTACCTGCGACGAAAGCACGGATCGCGCTCGTGGCAAGCACTTGATTGTGTTTGCCACGTTCCTCAAGCACGGCGTGACCGTCACGGAATTTTTGGCGCTGCTGACGGTCCACAAATGCGATGCGTCCTCGCTTTTCGGCGTGCTCACAAGCCACCTGGAGTCGATTGGCGTGGACCTCAAGCGGGTGTCTGGCATTGGCACGGACGGAGCTTCTGTAATGACGGGGGATAAGAGCGGGCTGGTTAGCCGTTTGCAAGAGCGCGTGCCGCATCTCGTTGGATGTGATTGCGTAGCGCATCGGTAAGTTGTGTTTGATAGTGTGGGTTTTTTTAATCACTGCGATTTTTCAATGTTGCGATGTAGTCCATCACCTCTTACTTCGTTACTAGTCTTCCGTCCCTTGTGTATTGCAGTGAAGCCTTGGTCGTCAAGGATGCCGCGAAGGCTTACCCCGACCTCAACATGATCGATGCTGCCGTGCGGGCTGTGGGGGAGATCATCTGTCGTTCCAACATTTGGTACGACCGGTTCAAAGAATTGCAACAAGAGATACACAAGACCAACCTCGAACACCAAGGCCTTTTCAACGTCAGATGGTTGTCGCGGGGAGACGCTATAGCGCGGTTATGCAGACTGTTGGGGGCGGCGATCGTCATGATTGTGGAGTACGGGCACAAGGTTGCTGCAACAGTGCAAACATTCAAATTTCATTTCTGTCTGTACTTTCTCGCCGACATTCTAGCCGTGCTTAACTCCCTCAACCGCTTCTTCCAGCACCGAAAGGCAAGTGTGTTTGCATACATGTTTATGTTTGCTACTGGCGAGAATTTTTGCACATGACCTTTGCGACGCGCTTCGTGTGTTGCAGGTGGACATCACACAAGTGGCCAAAGAAGTCGACCACACGATCACCATCATCACGCACCGGTACATCCAGTACGGCGAGACATTTGGCGGTGGGGTCAGCAAGCTGCTGTCGAAGTTCATCAAAGAGCATGGAGGTGACAACAGGACGGTGGTGGTTGAAGGGATTGACGCGGAGGGGCGGCAGACATCCCACAAGTTCGAGCTGAGCGAGACACCGATCAAGAAACACAAATTTGGGGGCACGCTTGCTGACTGTGAGAAGCTGTGCACATGTTTCGCGAAGGAAGTCGTTGCGAGAATGAAGTTCCG